GCCATGGCAAGAGTCCAGGAAAATAGGGATAAAAGCCTGACCTAGGGCAGTAATCAAGTGTGCAGAAGGCACGGAGCAGATCTGAGAGATTTTAGAAGCAGAGTCACCGAGGTTTGGCATCTGTTAGATAAGTGGGTAACAGAATGGAGAGGGCTCTGAGATTGTGAATCAGGGTGATTGCGAGCACTTTGGGGTCTTTGATGGATCCTAAAAGTCTCCAGCTTCCATGTTAGGCCAGTGTGCCCCTCCACACTTGGCCTCTGAGCAGGTTCTTACCTACCAGAGTTTTGCTGTGGTCCAAGAGAGGCTGACTCAGAAGGAAGAAGATGTGTCCTTAAAGTAACTACAAGCGACCAGTAATGAGCACTGGCTCTTCCCATGTGTCCTGGAGAGAAGCCCCTGTCCTACAGAGCCCTGTGGCCTCTAAGGTTCACCCAGTTAATGGAACATTGAGGATTAAAAATCAAATGTCCTTTTTAAGATTTCAATCCCCCAGAGGCAGAAAAGGCATTGTTGTTGTTGTTCAGTTGTATCTGACTCTTCATGACTCAGTGAACCATAGCACGCCAATGCCATCCATGTGGTTTTCTTGGCAGAGATACCAGAGTGGTTTGCCATTTTCTTCTCCAGTGGATTAAGGCAAATGGGATTAAGTGACTTGCCCAGGGTCACATAGCTAGTAAGTGTCTGAGGTCAGATTGGAACTCAAGTCTTCCTGATGCCAGCCCCAGTGTTCTAACCACTGAGCTGCCTAGAAAATGCATAGATACCTTCAAAATCTTCTAGTTCAGAGATGTCAAACTCCTGGCCAGAAGCCACAGCAAGGCCTCCCCAGTGTAGCCTGAACCAGATTACAATGTAATTAGGAAATATTTAACAAAAATAAATAAAATTACAATACAACATATATAATGCCAAATTGTAGTTTTCTAAGTCAATATGCCCAAAATAAATAACAATACAACTCAACATAAATAATGTCAATTTATGGTTTCTAAGTCAATATACTGCCAAAAAAGGTTAAGTGACTTGTCTAGGGTCACACAAGTAATAAAGAAGCAAAACTATAACTTGAACCCACATCGTCCAGAGCTACACTTTCCAATAGACTGTCCTGCCTCCCAAAATTGCTACTTTCTGCTATCCCTTCACTGCAAGTTGGGAGTAAGAGGCAGAGTGATACACTAGAGATAGTAATGGATTTGGATTCGTGGAATCTCGGTTCAAATCCTACCGTAACCATTTATGACCTATGTGACCCTGAGTAAATGACAGAACTTCTCTGGGACTCAGTTTCCTTACATGTAAAATGAGGGAGTTGTATTTGATGGCCTCTAAGGCCCCTTGGAAAGAACACTAGATTCATTCAGAAGACAAGGATTTGAATTTCTGGTGCCACTTACTCCCTGGGTGAACTTGAGTAAAGTCACAGAACTGCAGGTTTTAGAGATAGAAGAGACCTTTGGAAATCAGCTAGCTACCCCATCATCATGAGGCCCAGAGATGTTCAGTGACTTACTCCAAATCACACAGCAAGTTCCAAGGGCAGGATTCAAATGCAGCTCTTCTTGCTCTCAGAAGAGAATGCTCTTTCCATTTTTCAATGCTCTGCCCCAAAAAGGGTAGGGGGGATGAGAGGAGAGATTGGATCTCTAAGGTCCCTTCCAGCTCCAAATCCTCTGAGCAGAAAGTGATGTGAGATGAGGGAGGAGTGACTTGGGGGAGGGTTATTCAGTCCTAACCCTCTCTCCCAGCCCCTGCCTCTTATGTCCTCTCCCCAGATGTTCCCTGCTACCTCTCCTCTCCCTCTCTAAGGGTTCACCCACCCTCTTCTTTTCCCCCACCCCCCACCCAAAAAAATGTCTCTTAGTGAACCTGAGTCTCCCTCTGTTTTCTTCTTTCTGTTGTGAACAGTTAGTTCCAGCTTCTGGACAAAACTGTTATACGTCTTCTGTGCTCACCATCCCCCTCAGGCTCCATTCCATCATGAAGCTGGCTACAGTTAAACACGAGATTCATTGTCAAGGTTGCCCAGAAGTCCAGCAGGGTTGCAGATGCCATGAACACCCTTACACAGGGCACTAGGAACTGCTAGTTAGCAGCTAGGTAGACTTCTCAGAATGGGGCTGCACCTCCCCCACCACATGTGGAGCCCTATGAGGACAAGAAGGGGGAGGAGAATGGGGAGATGGGGGAGGAAAGACTGAGTTTTCCAGTCTAACTGGGAGCTCCCTGAAGGCAGGAAATATCACACTCACACACACACACACTTCCCAGAAGGCAAGATGGTGTCCACACACACAAACACTGTGACTGAGAGCTCCTTCTCCATCCTTATGATGCTAGATCAAAGCATAATGCTTCACTAAGCAAGTGGAGGCAGGGAGGGAAAAGATATAGAATTGGTATAAGACACAATCTCCATTCCCAAAACCCTGAAGGCATAGAAGGGGCCTCCTGGCTCAGCCTCGGAGGAGAGGCAAAGGGCCTATGATTAGAAGACCTGGATTCAAGATCTAGCTTCAAGTCATGTCTCTAACACTGCCAAGCTGAATGACCCTGGACAAGTCACTTACCATCTCCTAGCCTCAGTTTCCTCATCTATAAAATAGGGATAATAATACCTATATGGAGGCAGCTGGGCAATGGAAAGAGTGCTGGATCTGGATTCAAGAAGACCTGAGTTCAAATCTGGCCTCAGACACTTACTAGCTGTGTGACTCTGGGCAAGTCACTTAATCCTGTTTGCCTCAGTTTCCTCACCTGTTAAAGAAAATGGCAAACCACTCCAGTATCTTTGCCAAGAAAAACTCAAATGGGGTGACAAAGAGTTAGACACAACTGAAAGCAACTAAACAAAAACAAATACCCATGCGAGGCTTAGACTATGTCTTTTCACTTCAGATTGAATGAGAGTAGGGACTGCCTCCCCCAACCCATTCAATTCAACAAACACTTGTATCATTCAGTCGTTTCAGTTGCACCTAACTCTTTGAGACCCCATTTGGGGTTTTCTTGGCAAAGATGCTGGAGTAGTTTTGCTTATTTTATAGATGAGAAAACTAAGGCATGCAGGGTTAAGTGACTTGCCCAGCATCACTCAGCTGGGAAGTGTCTGAGGTTGGATTTGAACACATGAAGGTGAGTCAGAAAGATTCACACCCAGCACTCTATCCACTGTGCCACCTAGCTGCCTTAACAAACATTTATTAAGCACCAACTATGTGCCCAATGCTTGAGGATACAAAACCAAAAATGACAATAGTCTCTACCCTGAAGGAGCTTATGCTGAGGGGTGGGAGAAAGCCTCCAAGAATGGGGGCTCTCTCTTGCCTCTGCAGCTGAGTTCCCAGCAGTGTGCTCTGCATCTAGCTGGTACCCAAGCATTACCGTGGGTCATGGAAGCAGGCCCAGGAGCAGCTCAGGAAGCACAGGTCTTGGGCATCAAGACATCCAGGGTCTTCTGCATTCAGTCCCCTTTTTAACATCTCTTTAAGATCAGGGACTATTTTCCATTTTGTCTTTATATTCCCAACACTTAGTACAATGCCTGGCATATAGTAGGCACTTTAAAAAGGCTTGTTGATTTACTGACTGATGGACTATTTGATTGATTGATGCCCTAGTATGATCAGGGCCCTCTTTTCATGGTCCAGTGGGTGAATATTAGTGTGGGAAGGAGGAGGCTGGGCCAATGGGGAATGCTGAAGCCTGAAGCCTCTCCAGTTCTCTGCCCCCCCCACCATGAACCCCACCTTCCCCCACCCCTTAACCCTCCCCCTCCTTCCACCTCCCCCACCCTTTACCCTCCCCCTCCTTTCACCTTCCCCCACCCTCCTCCTTTATGCTGATGAGAGCTGTCCATTTATCTCCAAGTTTGACTCATTTTTCTCCATAAATCTAGACCTTCCATCCTCCTGCTTGATTTGTATTCCTGAATTATCCATGAAATTTTCAAAGGCTCAGTGAACATCAAGCTATCAACGCTAGGGCAGGGCTGACTGGGCTCAGAAGAGAGACTAGCACAGGGGAGAGACAAAAACACAGTGGGAAGCAGTCAGAAAGACGGCACCAGCAATGTCACTCTGGCCACTTCCAACCCTCCCACCAGCCTCCAGCCCAGGGAGGGTTAGCCCAGGCAGAGCAAGATTGAGGGCAGGAAAAATCTGACTGGAAGGAACCTAGTGGGTTATTTACTCCAACCCCCTTCATTTTACAAATGGGTAAATTGAGGCCTGGAGCAGTGAAATGACTTTCATCCTGGTAGTGAGTCTCCCAGTAAGGATTCAAACCCTTTAATTCCAAATCCTTGACTCTTTCCACTATACTGCCATATTCTTTCTGGCTTACTTCTCTTCCTCCAAAGAAAAGCCAGCTAGGTTACCCCAAGCAGAGGCAGTGTGGTGTGGTGACTAGAATGCTGGTGACCTGAAGCCAGAAAGACCAACTGGGTCTAACTCAGACATATGATAGCTCTATGTCCCTAAACAAGTCACTTAACTTTGAACCTCACTTTTCTCATCTCCAAAATGGGGACAATAATAGGATCTACCTCAAAGAGTTAATGTATTGATTGGGATCATGTACGTAAGGCCAATTGCAAACCTGCCAGCCTCTTTCTGTGCATTCGTGCATTAGTACCTTCCATTCTCCTGCCTTTCTGCCCCTGCACTGGCCGTTTCTCAAGCCCAGAATGTCCTCCCTCCTCACCCCTGCCTCCTGGCTTCCCTGGAGACTCCGCCAATCGCATCTTCTACAGGAGCCCTTTCCTGAACGCCCAGCTGCTGCAGACATCAGCCCCTCCAAACCTCCCTTGCATCTACTCTGTATTTGTCTTGTATGTGTTTTATTTATGTATGTGGTCACTCCTATTCGAATGTCAGCTCCTCCAGGGCAGAGACTTTTCTTTTTCTTTGTACCTCCAGCTAGTAAATTCTTAACAAACAGTTATTGACCGAATGACTGACATTTTTAAATGTTAATGGTATCATTTGTTTTTCCATCACCTTCATTTCCAGATAGATCCCTCCCATTCTCCCTTCGACAGACAATCTAGACTTGTAAAAAGCACTATTAAAGGAGAAATGAATTCAGCAAAACTAACAAATCAGCAGAATCTGATGGTGCATGCTGCCTTCCAAACCCATAGTCTTCCACCTGTGGAAAGAAGGGAAAGAGATGCTTTTTCTTAACTCTTCACAAACTCCTTCATTATGATTACCCAACGTTCAGTTTTGTTCTTTCCATCGGCATTGTTGTTAAATGCGAGTTATTATCATCATTACAGGAGGCCATGCCACTATCCAGAATGGCGGGGGAAGGTGGAGGAAGTGCCTGGCCACTCCTGCAGCTCCTCCCTCTCCCTTCCAAGCGGGCCATGATCCTTTGTCCTTCTCCCCTCTCCTTGGCTCTTTAGAGGAAAGGGGATTTCCCCGAGAAGCGGGAGCCCCTTGTAGCCTTTCCTCCCTCGCGATAGCCAACCCCTCTCCCAGCAAGGGCTCTTGGGCCCGCTTTCCTGCGCGGACTTGAAAAACGGCCCTCTCAGCGTCTTGGCAGGAAAACAACCCAGGGGGTCGCGACCCCTCTCTGCTTTATGGAAGACATCCATCCCAGATGTGAGAGCTTAAGCACATCTACATAATAAGCTCCCCACGACCCGGGCAGCTCCCGCCATCTCTCACCAAGCCTGGCCCAGGCGGCTTTTCTTTCTCTAAATCGAAAACATCAATCGGCGAGACTGAGCCTTCTCTCTCTTCCGTCATTCTGCCCCCTAAAGCCCTAGGGCCGCGGGGCCCTGCGTTTGAGCCTGGACCAGCGGGAGGATGCGGAGGGGGTAACCGGGGAGATGTGGCAGGATGCGGGGTATGCAGGCAGGATGGAAGGGGCGCCTCTCGGATACGGCCTGCCTTCCCAGCCCTGGCTCCGGCCCCGGCTCCAGCCCCAGCCTCTGTTGCCCTTTAATTACCAAGGGGATGGGGGGAGGAGTTATTCCCTCCCTGCGCAGCCCTAACAATGCGGCTTCATCTGTCTCCGCCGCTGCCCCCACCAACAGCTCTCGCCAGAATATTTGTCCATATAATAGTCCACTTCTCTAACAGGCGCTCTACCTGAATAATTCATACACTGCCACGGCTGAGGCTGCAATGGAGGAAAGGGAGGAGAGGCCGGTCAAGAGACTGGCTGGCTTTGGGGCAGAGTCAAGGATCAGAGAGAAGGGAAGAGGCCAGAGAGGATGGGGAGGGAGAGAACGAATAGAGAGAGGATGGGGAGAGATCTCCGACCCTCAACCGAGCCTCTACCCAGACTCACCTTGCTGAACACACATAGACTTCAAGCACTGCTATTAGCCATCTGTTTGGAGGAGACAGCATGATACAGTGGCAAATGACAATGCCAATGGAGTTAGAAGTCATGGGTTCAAATCCCACTTGTGACAACTTATGTAACTTGTGGCAGACTGCTGAATTTCTCTGGGCCTCAGTTTCCTGTGTAAAACTAAACTGTATGATCTCTAAGGTCCCTTCCAGTTCTGGATCTGTGATCCCGAGTCATTTCATCCCCCTGAACCTCAGTTTCTTCACGTGTAAAATGAGGGGTTGCACTAGATGACCCTTGAGCTCCAACTCGGGAGCAGATGATGCTATGGCGATCTACGTCCACTATTCAAACGAACAGCCTCTACCTTCTTCAGAGCACTGAGCTGGCCCCCAAGAGAAGTACAAAGTTTAGGTAAGAGACTGCCCTCATAGAGATTACAGTGTAGTGGAAAGCGAGAACCATCAATAGGGTTTGTGCTGATCCTATTTATGTCTCTGTATCCCAACCCCAAACACGGTGCTTAGAACGAAATAAGTGCTTAGTGGATGAGAAGAATGCGGCCCATCAAACAGATAATATAAACGCTGAATCCTGAACTTCGTTTTTTCTACTGAGGGCACCCCCATTCTTCCAGTCTCCCAGGTTCATGCTGTCATATGACTGTTCCTCAAACCACTTATTCAATCAGTTGCCAGCTCTTGTCATTTTTTAACTCCACTTCTCTCCTCCCTTTCTGGAGACTGAGGCTCACTATGTTGCCCAGGTATAGAGTCTACTCACAGGTCTCGTCCCACTCTGATAGGCATAGGAGCTCAGACTTGGTTCATTTCTGACCTAAGCCTGTTGGCCCCTCCTTAGTCAACCTACTTGGCCCTCCACCGTCTTCTTTCCCCTAGGGCTCATCATATTGGTGCCAAGCTAGTGAGGACACTCTATCAGTGTATATACATAGTTCATTTCAGCTCAGAACTCCCAAGCTCGAGTCCACCAGCCTCAGCTTTCCCAGTACCTGGCATTAAAAGTGTGTTCAACAACAAATGCTTGTCCCCTTCTTTCTAGTCATACAGCTACCCCCCTAATTCAGGTCCTCATCACCTTTTGCTTGGACTATTGAAATAACCTGCTAATTGGTCTCTTTTCCTCATGTCTCTCCCTGCTTCAATCCATCCTCTGTACAACTGCCAAAAAAGATTTTGCTAAAGCTCAGATCTAAATATGTCACTCCTTTTCCCAATAAACTCCAGTGGCTCCCTATTGCCTCTAGGATCAAATATAAACTATTTAGTCTTTAACAACTTGGCCCCAGCTTCACTTCATATTATACACCATCACTTAACTCTACAATTCAACCAAACTGCTGGTAGGTTCCAATCCTCCATGCCTAAAATGATCTCCTTCCTCACTTCCTTCATAAAGCCTTTCCAGAATCCTCTCCAATAGTTAGCTCCCTCTCTTCCTAATTACCTTCTACTTAACTACTTCATATTTATTCAGTGTATTCGTGTGTGTGTGTGTGTGTATGTGTATGTATGTGTATGTTGTTGTTCAGTCATTTTCAGTTGTGTCTGACTCTTTGTGACCCTATTTGAGGTTTTCTTGGCAAAAATACTGGAGTGGTCTGCCATTTCCTTCTCCAGTTCCTTTTACAGATGAGGAAATTGAGGTAAAGAGGGTTAAATTACTTGCTCAGGGTCACATAGTTAGTAAGTGTTTGAAGTCTGGGCCCGTGACATTGTGGGCCTAGCTGCCCATATACACATACACACATACACACACACACACACACACACATACATACATATATTGTGTATGTGTATGTGTGTGTACACACACACATATACGTATATTGTGTATGTGTATGTACCTATGTGTGGATATGTACATATATGTGTATGTGTGTATACACACACACACCCTTGTCTCCCTTGAGGGAAGATAATGTTTGCAAAATGCTTAGCACAGTGCCTGGCACATAGAAGGTGTTTAATAAACATTTGTTTCCTTCTTTCCTTAGAAAAAATCCTTTAATCTCTCTGGACATCAGATTCTTCTCTATAAAATGATGGCTACATGCCCAGAGAGACAGTATGATGTAATGGCTAGGCACTGAACTCAGAGTTATGAAGACCTAGGCTCATATCCCATCTCAGATGTTTACCTGCTATATGACCCTGGGCAAGTCATTTATCTTCTCTGCCATTTTGTAGATGACCCACAGCAAAAAAAGTTTCCTCAACTAATCTATACACCTACCCTGAGTCCCATCACTCCAATTAATCCAATGACTTTCAAGGACATCTCATTCAATCAAGGGCTTTTCACACAGTCTAACCCCTAGATAGATGGATCTAATAGAGATGTGTTCTCACCCTGGCAAAAGTACCAGGGAATAGTGTCTGGTCAGCAGGTGATTAGATTGATTAACTCAAGGGACCCTCATCCTTATACTGTATGATCCTGTGATCCCATGCCGAATGCCAGAACAGCCATAAACACACCCCACCACAAAGCTAGGAATGAGAGGATCACTGGGTATTTGGAGCTGGAAGAAAGCTTAAATAAGCAACAAATGTAACCCTCTTATTTTACAGAAGAAGAAACTGAGAAGAGGTTAGTCTGCTTAAGTATGGTCACACAAGAGATAAACAGCAGAGTCAAGATTTGAACCCAAATCACCTGGTTACCCTATCCCTTCTTTCCACTCTCCAATACTACTGTTACTCCAAGCTACATCATTACCTGAAGACAGCCCCAACCTGAAGACAAAAATCAGGCAGCAGTACCCAAATGAAACTAAGTGGGCAACTTTAAGGGATATGTTGTTACAATTCTCTACCTATCTTATCTCCCCTTCCTGTTGGGTTCTCAATGGATTTTGATTCGGCAGGATTCAGAGTCCGTTTACTGCTGGAGACCCTAGGAATTTCTAATTCTAGGGAGACAGAGCAGAAGGGGAAAGCTAAGGGCAAGTAAGGGAAATGGGGATAAGGGTCACTCAATTTCTATAAAACTGAGAATTTAGTAAAATTTTGCAGCTATGATCTCCCTCCTCTACCCATTCCCTCCCACAGGAATCTTGGTAAGTGGAACTGCTAGAGATGGAGATCTCTCATAAAACTAATTAAAAGGTACTTGAAGCTCACTCAACAAGCATTCCCTTCACTCCACCCATCACCAAGCTCCCAGGGGTATATAACAGGCACACCTTTGCTACCAGGAGAAGTGGATCTTCATCAGCCCAGACCCCTTGAGGACTATTGACGGCAGTTGAAAGATATCAGAACCATCCTCCCCATCCCACATCTGTAAAGCTCCCAGGATGGAGAAGGGAGGGGAGACTCCCCCCAACCTTCACCCACCCCCAATTCCCAGTCCATAAAGAGAAAAGGAAAAGCAAGAACAGAGTCTAGACAACTTGATTCAACAAAGATATATTAAATTTATTAAATGTATTCTACATGTAAAGACCTGTGCTAGATTCTAGGGATAAAAGGCAAAAGTGAAACTGCCCTCAAGGAGTACTATTATCTGAGTTGATGCTGTTCTGTCTTTTGTTTTGCTACTACCAGTATAAGAGCACTAGAGAGGCAAGAAAGCCAAAATGTCAATCATCTGCTGAGCCGGTAGATTTATTGAGTGTGCTTACAGCTAGCTACCCCTCCATTCACATGGATATGACTTTCCTAGCATGACATCCACTTCAGGAAGGTGGCTTTCGCCTTTTAGGAAACTTACTCTCCTTCCCTTCTTTAGGTATGGCTTTTTTTCCCCTTTCTTTCTTTGGGAGACAATCAAGGTTAAGTGATTTACCCAGGGTCACACAGTAAGTGTCTACGGCTGGGTTTGAACTCAGGTCTTTCTGTCTCCAGGGCTGGTGGTCTATCCACTAACTGACATATATATACATATACATATCTCTGTGTGTGTGTGTGTATAATATACATATATATATATGTGTGTGTGTGTATAATATACATATGTGTGTAATATACGTGTGTGTGTGTGTGTGTGTATACACACACACAGAGATATATATATATGACCTCTAGCCACCTATCTGACCCATGGCTTGCTTTTCAAAGACGTGACCCACAAATAGGAGGGAAAATAAAAGGTGCCTGGCTTGCTTTTTTGCAGTGTTGGATGGTTTCTAACTAATTTGGAATTAAATCTAGAGGTATCTGGATTCTAGATTCATTGCACAGTTCAATACTGCTCCACCATTTTGCTCAGCTGGTCTAAATTGGCTCCAAGCCCCCACATTAAGTCTGAATCAAACATTTCCTCTTTCTAGAACACACATGCTCTCTCTTCTTCCCACTGAATATCCATAAGCATTAGCTAAGACACACAATGCAAAACTTTGAATTTCTTTTGATCAACAATTTATCACATTTGCTGGCTTCAGAAACAAAATAAAATTCACAGCAAAAGCTAACCCTTCCCAAGCCCAAAGGAAAGCATCAGTTTGAAGTGAGTCAATACCACACATTCAACCTTCTTCAGAGAGAGGGGCAGGGGGGGAGGGAAGATCATCAGTCTCTATCCAGGGCCTGAACTGGATTGGTGGTACAGTATTTATCCAGAAGACAGTGGTTGAAATATCCTCACCACCCC